TTTGGACACTAATTTGCAACTTTTTATTCAGATTTTTTAGAAAAATTATAGGTATGCAGTTTTATAGCCTATTCAATTTTAGTATAGCAAAGTGCACGTTTAAAGTTGCTAGAAAATCGCGTTGATTTTTGGCAATTTTTTTAGTGGAAGGTGTTGCTCATTTTCTCCATACAAAAAATAATTGTCGAATATACTTTGTATGGAAGAACTTGCGTGGTGTAAAATAAACAATATTTTTATAAAAAATTATCGAAAATTAGAATAAAAACCTTTGCAAATATTGCGAAAAATTCACTGTGCCAATACTTCTGTTCGGCACTGTAATTGAAAGAAAACTAACTAAACATAATCAATCGAAAACGATTATAATTAGTTCATCATTACATAATAACTGGCAAAGAGAAAATAATATAATTTCAGCACGATGGGTATGTAAAAGTGCCATTAGTTTTCTCAAAACTGAATAACATAGTCTAAGAATTGCTTGATATATACTGAATTATTGGAAAACTCACGAACCAGTTATCAAACATGCTTTATAGTTCAAGCGATAGTCGATAATGGCTAGTTTTTGTATAGGGAATATAAGTATGTATGTGTGTTGCATACTTTTATGATTCGTGACAAAAATAAGGGTTATCAGCTGTCAGAAAGCAACATAAAGTGCAGTTACATACAAAATACAGCTTCCTTAGAAGCCAACTTCTAGGCGAACTAATTATGTGCTCGCTGACAGATCAATGAGATATCAAAACTGATTCACTCTGGCTTTCTATCACATCCTAAAGGTATGCTACAATATGTACTAATATTTTTTTATTAACTAATTTATTAATTGAAAGTTAGTAAGACATAATCAGAAAGTATTTCCTAACTGGTTTTTATAGTTTCTTTAAGCCATCTTGCTATTGATAAACCATATTTTTTGAAATCTATAAATTCATGTTGTTCATCTTCCTTCTTCGCCAATTCCTTAAAAGCAAAAAGTCTCTCTACGATGACGCGCAGTCACGCGATTGATAGAACAATATATATCCCGTCTCCGATGACTTTTGTATGTCCGATGTCAGGCCATAGAAGTCCTCAATAGTTGATGCCTCAATTTTATCCACCATATCGTCGTCGAACAGCAGCCAGAGTCCATGACTTTTAACAATGCTAATATAATGTCCACGATTCGGTCCTGATCCACAGTGTATGACCACGGCCATTAGATCGTACAAGCGATCCGGATTAACGGCATCGTCAGAGGTGTTGAATAGTCGCAGCTCAAGCGGAAATACCACGCGATGCGACACTTTTATGTGTCGATTAAATTGTTCCATATACTTGAAGCGTTTCAGATGCAGCGCCAATATCATCGGCAATTTCTTGACACGCATACGCTTCTGCGCCTCCTGATAGCTGCAGCAATTGTCGCACTTAAACTTGTTGTCGGAGCAAAGCGTTTCGGTGTTGCTGAAGCAGCGCAAGCAATGCGTAATCGAGGTATTCTGATCCACATCGACTTGTAGATCAAAGAAGTTCTCATCCTTGCTGCTAACCGTCTCGCAATTCAGGCAGCGTGTCTCTGATGTTAGTATACCCTGAAAGATTTCATGCACCCAAGTGGGTTCCGTGTTGGCGGCGTTCGATTGTGTCGGTGTTGAAGCGTGATCGCTGATGCCTATGCCGACACCCACGCCATTTAACGAACCCGACGAGTTTGTACAGTTGCCGTTGGACGTTGAATTCGAGGCAGTTGTCGATGTGCTGGTGGACGAGGAGGATTTACTGGCAGTGGAGGTGCCACCGCCGCCGCCGGCGCTGCTACCATTCAAGTTATTGCCATTCTTGCTGGCATGCCGTTCAGCCAAGATGATCTCATTGATATGATTGATGAGAAAATTGAGAAACTCATGCGCATCCTGTTGCATATAATTGTCAAATTCCTCTTTCTCTTTGCGTAGACGCGCAATAAACTTCTTAGGCGCAATCGAACCGACTTTTTTCTTCTGCGTGGCAATGTTGTAAAAGAGATCGGCTAGGCAGGAGAGCAATGTCTCTTTGGGGCGCTTATTCTTTGCCTTATATTCCAGCACTTTTTCACGAAATGGCTTGCAAAAGTAGAGCGCTTGCAGCACGGAGTTGCTATAGCACGTATTGCCGAAATTGACCAGACCAAAGTAGTGTTCGTTGGGCGGAAAGAGCTCAGAGCCGATCTCACGCTCCAGTTGCGACACGTTTGCACCCATTGCATGAAAAGCTTTGCTCTAGCGTTCGATGGGGAAGTACGCCGCAGTAGGCTGAGCGGCCAGAAAGCCAGTTGGGAGAGTGGCCTTTTCTTGCTTTATTTCCTCTGGGTTCCTAGTTAAAATGCACTAACACGTATGTACGTAAGCAACACCACCACCACCACCAACAACAACAACAATAAGAGCTACCACATTTATGAGCGTTTCTGTGTGTGCGTGTGACTTTTTAGACTATTTGTTATATATTTTTTGCATACATTTAGGCGCGCAGACTTACAATACAATTTGCTTGTCTGAAAATATACAAAATTTTGAAGAGGGGATACACGTCAGTATAAAATATTTTTTCGGTTTTTTTCTATTTTAATTATAATAAATTCAACACAAAAAGTAGTCTAAGCACTTAACTAATTGATGCGGCAATAACAAAAAAAAAACATTTTAAAACTATAATAACTCGGGAAAAACACATAAAAACGCATGAGCTATGTAAAACGAAACAAAGTGGGAAATGCTATGAAATTTCAATAAAAATTAATAAAAACTTAAAAATGTAAACAAAACGCTGCTGGTGTTGTGCAAAGAAAAGCGTGTATTCTTTTAATTTCCTGTACTAATTAGATATTGAAAGTTTTTCTTAAACTGATAGGTAAAGCAGAAAAAATATAACATTAAAGTACAGTACGTTATTATCCCCTCTCCAAAATTTGTTCGCGTTTCTTTCGCTATCGTTGATATTATTTCAACTAATATGTAAATACAAAACTACTATATTTAAAATTATTTGTACTAGTTTTACTATAAAAATATTTATAAACGTATGCAATATATACTTTGAACAATTTGTATGTATAATGTACGTATGTTTTGCAAAATAAGGAGAAGGAAGAATAAGTTTGAATAATTCAATTAGTGTTGTGCTTTTTCAATGTAATAAAGATTCTATGAATTTTTATACATTTTTTTTTAAGGTTTTGGGGGTCGATACCTAGTTGAATTTCCGAGTACAGTCTATCGATTTCAGACAATTGATATCAAGTTTTAGGAAAATATTGGACCACAATTTTTTTTATATCTATAGGCGGTTGTTTTTAAATCTTCGGTTTTCGAATATTAAAGGTTTTTACAAATCTTGTTTTCTCAATAAAAGTTTTCGAGTTTTCGATGTTTTCAAGGCCTTTTCCACTTTAAAGGAAACCCATAAATGGAGAGACCTACACTTTTACTCCAAAACCGAAGAAGTGCACTTCGAGGTTTGCCTCTTTTGATTTCGCTGAGGCCAGAAAATTTACCATGGACCTCCCGAGTAGCAGTAAGTATGAAAAATTTGTAAAATAAAACCGGTTTAACCGGTTAAAATTGCAATTTTTCGAACAACTCGAAAACTGGTTTTGGAAAAAAGGCGAATAATCGAACACCCTAATTTCTTGCATGCATAGTCTTTGGTTCAGTGCCCCGTTTGCATTCCTGTGAGAAGACTAACAAGAATAATCCCCAAGAACTTTCGATTCTTTTTCCTGTTCAGATTTGCGCCATAGAGTAATAAGAGTTCAAAAATTGCCTATCTCATATCGCTTCGATAACAGAACGCCATTCATTTCTACGCACCCTGCCAGGCCCTTCATTGCATATTGTAATATCCTACTGACCGTCGATATTACACGTATGTATATAAGCAGGTCCGCATTGTGAATTGACCTTAAAGAAATATGCAAAATCGCAAACAACACAAATATGTGCATTAGGGTGGTCCTTAAAATTAAATGCCAAATTTTATTTTAGGCTCAGTCCTTCAATTGGTAACACCACTGTCATAGTTATCACATATAAATTTTGGTCCCGATTGGAGGCGGTTAAGGAGTGTCGCACAGGGGGACAAAGTTCAGATTCCTCTATGGACTCAAAAAATTAAAAATATGTTTTTTTCCATTTAATGCTACTAAAGTCGAGGATATCAAATATAAATTTAAGTCCCGATTGAAGTCGGTTAAGACGCCGTCATAGGGTAATCTGAGCTCTGACCCTTGTGCGACACGACTTAACCGTCTGCAATCGGGACCAAAATTTATATGTGATATCATCGACAATGATCGCATCGATTTTGAGTATTAGACGAAAAAAAAATTTATTTTAATTTTTTGAGTATCCATAGAGTAATCTAAACTTTGCCTCCTGTGCGACACGTCTTAACCGTCTCCAATGGGGACCAAAATTTATATGTGATATCTCCGACTATAGTAGCATCGACGTAGGAGTTGAGGCTTAGGAAATCTGATGTCAAAATTTGCTCCGTACATTTAAGGACCACCCTAATGTACATACATACATGTATATGCTTAAAAATTTGAAGAGAGAAACAATCAAACAAAGCATTGTTTATTAGACGAAAAAAATGGCAATGTTTGTTGTGTAGCTCAAGTTTTTTTTTTACTGCACCGACCAACTTTGAAAGCACTATTTGCTAATATTCGCCACTAACTACTGTACATAGAGCTATCCGGATGCGAGTGCAACTCTCGTAGCCTTCATAGAACCCGAGATTGATGAGTGCATAATTATTTATACTTCTGCTGGATATGTACATATACGTTATTAGGTTCGACATATTTATGTAAGCTATTAACATTTTTTGTCAAATATCTGTCGAAGCTTTTGAAAACTCACAACAAGTTTGCTAATATTTGACAATGCAAATAAGCAGAAGAGCAATAAAAAACCTAAAAACCATATTTATTCTAATATACAATGCTAACATAAAAATCGCAAGATCTCCAGCGCATACTGGCCAGTATAGAAATAGAACTTGCAAGCGCAGCAGCCAGTCATTAGTAGCGATAAAACGTGTAATTGCAAAACATGCTCCAAAGCGACAGCGACTAAGTTGAAGTGAAAACGTTCGGTTGATAAGAGTAAAAGTGAGCTTAGCCAGTAGTTAAAACAAAAAGAAAAGAACAGCAAATTTAAAAAGGAGTAAAATTTTGCAAAGCAAAATGCTGAAAATTACTGTGAGTGCAAAGTGTTATCAAAAGTCTTTGTTTAAAAAGAAAATTTTATCTTCTCGACACTAATTCTCATAGAGACTCGGCGGCAGCCTACTCTTGGCGGTATTACTACTATGCACAACCATTCGGCGTGTGGCTGTTAACGCCGACACAAAAGTGCTCTACACATTCAGGTGATTGCGAGTTTTAAAATCTATTTTTGAAAGTTATAAATCAAATGATTGTTGCTATCAAAATTACCTACTCCTTTCACTTGCACAGTTTATTTCAACCAGGTTACGGCAGCCGCGATGAGGTCATCACACTGGAAAATGCAGGCACGGCGAATGAAGAATTGGTTGTCAGAGGCAATTGGACAACTGAATTTGGTCCACCCAACAAAGTTGGCCTCGTTTTTAGGGAGATGACCGAATATATTGCCGATAATAAGGGCTATCGCGTGCGTTATCGCATCATAGCAGTGCCCTTGGCGCAGGCTAGATTGAGTCCAGGCGCACTAATGTCAGCGGCCGGTTGAGAATGCCACCATGGAGAGACGAAGAGTAAATAGACACCTACGTCGAATTTTAAATGAAAGTATTTGTTTTTTTTTTTTGCTTGGACTTAAGTGTGTTGAATTTAATATGAAAAAAAAGATCGAAAGAGCGAAAATAAAACTTTAAATATCTAAGCTTTGAGTTAATTGTGTTGATGCATTGTGTTGATTATCCAGTTGGTTGAGTAAACGCACATGCACAAATATTTGCACTGGACTGGTTTGAAATCAAAGCAAGCGTCTCAGAGTTTTAGTAACTTAGCGAAACGATATTTTGGAATGTACATACTAAGAAATTGTGAGAACCATACAGACAAGTAAGAAAATATGCATACATTTACATATGTATGTATATGGTGTTGGCTGGACTAAACGTTGCCTGTAAAATCGCCTCATGGAAAGACCCTATTAGAGAGAGGCAAGTTTTTATTATTTAGTAGAATGATACAAGAAATATAAAATAATTACTGAACCCAAGTGATGCACATTCTTTTGTTTTGAATTTTATTTATTTTAGGTACGCTTATGCACAAATGTGCATACATACATATATGCACATAAATTGTAAGACATACATAGTTTTAGGTCCACTTAATATAAGTGAACCGAAGTTTATTTCGATTAGTTTACTACTTGCCCTTGAATTTTGTAATTCATATAAGGTTCGTTTATGCTCAGAAAACATCAAAAAAAAATAATTACGTTCATATTTATGTATTAGGGTGACTGACTCGATTTTTCGAAACCGGTTGAAATTAGTCTTTTCGAATATTTTTAGACGGTTTTTTGTTATTTTGATTTTAGGAATACCGAGTAATACAGATTTTTACAATGGAATAAGCCGCGGTTTCACCTAGCTTATTTATGTATGTATACCAAAATCTAAAAATTCTAATTTTTTTATTGAAAAGTGCCAAATACCCGGCGTGCTTTACTGCGCCTTAAATGTATTTTTGTGTTGTTTCTCCCTCCCAAAACTCGTACGACCTTATTCATAAATAAGATTTTCAAACAAATTTTCAATTTATGAAGCATTCTTTATTTTTTATGAATGTGGGTGTTAGTTAATATATTTTCAAAGGTATTTAGAAAGTAGGTAAAGTATGGGCTTTCTGCTGGGAATTTAATTTATAGTATTTTACCTCGGCAATCCGCTTCAAAAATATTTTCGACAGTAAACTTCTTTAAATCTGTTTAGTCTAACGCCCGCATTGTAAAATATATTTCATTTATTTTAACAATTTAATTTAATAAATTTTTTCAAATAGGTGGTAACCCTCTTCAAAAATTTGTTCCGCAGTAAAATTTACTAAACCTCTTTAGTTTGATACCCATATTGCAATATTTAATTTATCTTATTAATTAGATTTAATTAAAATGTTCAAACAGGTAGCATGAAAATATTTTCGTGAAAATATATAGAGACCTTTTATCAATTTTAATATGAAAACATACCGGAAATTTACCACTGCAGAAAATTACTTAACAAAAACAAAAGGAAATCCAAACGAAAATAGTTCACTGCTTTTTTCTTGTTTGTAGCAGTTTATACCGCTTTCCCACGGCACTGTGAATTACTTTGTTCGCTCTCCCAATTAGTACCGTGAATTATCCCATTCACACTGTTTCTGTGTTTCTTCGCTACAAAATGTATGCAAAATGTAATTTATACATTTTTTAATTAAATTTACTTTTAATACTCAGAGCAAGTGCCACTTTTAATTTTTCAATTTTGCAATTGCAATTGTTCGTAACTCGAATGGTAATTGGATTCTACGGTTAATTGGAGTGCGAATTATGATTGATAAAGCAAATCTAATCTTTGTATGATTGATAAACCCCACTAAGAGTTAAATGTTCACTCATGCGAATAATCGAACACCCTAATATTTATACATGCCTACATATTTGTACATATAAAAATGGTTGCATGCCCAACAACATGAAAAATTACAACGCCAAAGCATAAAGTTCGCAGTATAGCAACAAAGCGCTGTAACTGCAATGGCAGTAACATTAAGCGCATGCAGCGAATAGTGCTACGAACAGTATTAAGAAATACTCGACATTGTACCTACATATGTACCTACGTAAGTACATAAGATGCAATTAGCGCATGTATATATCTATGTTTGTATGTTCACTTGGATATTCTTAATGACAGCCGGGCACGAGAATACATCAGCAAAATAATAACGAAGAAATCACTAACTATATATTAACTTCAGTAATTCCAACAGTTTCGTACGTAATTATATACATACATGATTAATAACATCAGGCAAAAAAAAAACTAAATACACAAATATTACACCAGCATTCAAGGCCATATTAAAACTAGCCATAATATTTTTGTATCACGGTATTTAAAAGTTGTTTATCTCCATCAAATAATTGAGGATATCATAAAACAAACTGAACTTAATTTTCATTTCATATATACATACATACATATGTACGTCGATGCTTCATTTTTCATACTTTTTACACACATACCACATATGCATGCGCAAAATGTTTCTTCTAGGGGAAGGGAATCTTCAACTACCCTGTAGTCAAATGTACTAGTTGAAAACTACTTAACAACTAGTATGAACCGCATGCCCAACTAGTCAGCCAACTATCTTTTTTCCATACAAGCAACTGGTATTTTTAACATGGAGATGTCCTACGAGATGGCAATTGTCAGATTTCAATCGGAAATATACCAGTCTCATACTAGTTGAAAATATACAGAAAAATACTAGTCAAATTTTGGACCAAATATGCCGGTCTCATACTAGTTGAAAATAGACAGAAACATACTAGTCAAATTATGTAAAAAATATACCAGTCGCATACTAGTTCAGAAAAGACAGAAACATACTAGTAGAATTA